AAAATGTTGCTTCACTTTATTTTTGTTTGTTTTTTGTTTTTTTATGGGTTGTAGGTCTTGAACTCTGAAGAGCTGTCCCTCAGCTCTTTAGCTCAAGACTAGCACTCTACCACCTGAGCCACAGTGCCACTTCTTCCTGTTGCTTCACTTTATAATGAAGTATTTCAAAATATAAAAATATTGCTACCTTCTACATGAATAACCCTTGAAAATAATAAAATATTAAATATTACTATTAAAATATTAAAAAGTCAGTTAAGAAGACTAAGTTATTGAAATCTGTTTATAAAATCTACAATATGACAATTCAGAGATAGGATAGTGATTTCCTAGAGCTGGAAGAATGTGGCATTATTTGTGAATGACTGTTAATGGGTATAGGATTCCTTTTGAGTAAGATAAAAATATTTAAAACTTACTGTGGTGATGGTTGTACAATTTTGTTAATATACAAAAAAATCTGAGTATTACCCATTAAGTGAACAAATTATATGATATATGTGAATGAGAGTAAGACCTGTTTGCTTAATCAAACATTAATCTAAATATTGCTATGAAAATATTTTACAGATGTGGTTAACATCTAAAACCCACTGACTTTCAGAAAAGGAGATTATCTAAATACGAAAAGTAGGCTTCATCTATCAGGTAATATCTGAAGACCAAAAGTGAAGTTTCCTGGAGAAAAAGATACCCTGTCTGGTTTTCTTGAATGCTGGCTCATCCTAATAGTATGAGACTTTTCAATCTCAGATTTTCATAAATCAATAATTTAAAATATCTTCACAGGGGGACAGAACATAGAAGAAAGTATAGGTGATAATAGATACAAAGATAGATACACAGTTGAGAATATATGTATAGAGCATAGACAGACGGATAGAAATATAGATTTCTGCAAAAAAAACAGACAACTGGTATATACTTCTTCCTGTTATCTTTATCAGACTTAGAAAGTCATTGTTCTACAGTCTTACTAGTACATACAGATGTAGTATGTGAATATATCTCAATAAAAATTTTACAAAACAAAAATGCGATGTAAACTAACAGCAGATTAAGTCTATGCAAAAAAGTAGGTGGGAGAATAGATATGATCTGTGGTAAGCAGTATTCCAAAATAATTCACAATTAAAAGCTTTTCACATAATCTCTTCTCCTTATACAGTATCAAGTATAAGATGGACTTGTAACAACAATGGGATAGTCACTATGTTGATTAGGTTATATTATATGACAGAATTGATTTTAAGAAAGGGAGATTATCCTGGATAGGCTTAATGCAGTGATCCCTTCAAAAGAAATGGCTTTATCTGAAGAGATTCAAAAGGAAGGAGGATTAGAGGAAAGGAGGGAGTGAAGAAGGAAGTTCTATATGAGTTATAGAGCCTCTATGATACTAGTTTTGAAGATTTGAAGATTAGTGTGTTATGTGTGAATGCATGAAAATATCCTCTAATAGCTAGAATGGGTCTCTTATAGACAGCTAACAAGAAAACAGTCACCTCAGTGCTATGACTGTAAGGAAGTGAATTTCTCTAACAATGATCTCAGTATCTGCAGTATCTCATGTAAGCCTCCTTTAGACACAGTTGTAGAGTTTATACTTGTTCATGATCTCCCAGGAATCACTGGTTTTTGTTAGCCAATATCCAATGTCTTGAGAACTATTCACTTATTCTAATTAATTTAACTATTTCAGGTAGGAGTAGTTACCTTGAATCCATTTCAGGCTAATCCCAGTTCGCCCTAAACTAGTCCAAGTTGAATAATAAAAAGTCCCACAATACTCCATCCAGAGCATAATCATCACCCTAGTCATTGTTATTACATTTTTGCTTGATACTAAAGCAACATTCTTATTTTTAAATACACTTAACAGATGGCCAACTACTTAAAAGAAACAAAAGAATACAATGGAGTTTAAAACATTTAAGGGTAATACATATTTTAAAACAAATACATATTTAATAATGAATATATATTTAATAAGTAATATACTATATGTGAAGTATATAATGTAAATATAAATGGTAAGTTAAATTCTAAAGCAAACACAAAAAGATATAATCTGCTAAAATGAAATAAAATACAACTACACAATATATAGAATAAACTTTCTTTTAAACAAAGATAAGAGGAAAATAGTGACAAAGAAAAAGATTGAAAAAAAAAAACAGAAAACAGATAACCAAATGTTCATTTTTAGTAAAACTGTATGGATTAGATTTAACATGAAAGGCACAAGCAAATAAATCACAAGTCGGGTTAAACAGAAAGAACCAAGAAATATACTTTAAAAATGACATAGATGGCTAAATGCAAGACATAGATACAAATTCTTTTTTAAAAATTACTAAAATCAAGTCCAAAAATGACTTGATTTTAGTCATTAAAAATTAAATAAAAATTGAGTAAATCATCTTTACCTGATATGATTACAAAAAGAGGGAAAAATTAAGAAAAAAAACTGACATATAAGATGGAAAATATAAAAAAAAACAAAAAGCTGTCCAAAAGATCAATGAAAATAAGGTAACCACATTAGTAAAATGAAAGAATACAAATTATCAACATTTAGAATTACAGGGAACATCTCTAAAATTCATGTGACTCCCAAAATGGAAAATTAAAGACAATTCCCACCACATAAGTTTTGTCTTCATGAATCTGAAATAAAAGTATAATGTACATTCCTAAAAAACAAGGTTGGAAATTTAGAAAGGCAGGAAAGGGGGGCTGGGAATGTGACTCAGTGGTAGAGTGCTTGCCTCACATGCATGAGGCCCTGGGTTCAATTCCTCAGCACCACATAAAAAGAAAAAGCCAGAAGTGGTGCTGTGGCTCAAGAGGTAGAGTGCTTGCCTTGAGCTGAATAGCTGAGGGACAGCGTGTAGGCCCAGAGTTCAAGCCCCATGACAGACAAAAAAAAAAAAAGAAAGAAAAGAGAAAAAGAAAAAAAGAGAGAGAAAGAGGGAGAGAGAAAGGCAGGAAAGGGACTAGCAAAAGACTAGACAATTAATGACCAAAGGATATTCAGAAATACCAAAATTTAAAGCAATGAAAGAAACATAGGGAAAATTTCATTTAAGTGGAGTCCTCAGTAACTAGTCCTCTGAACACTCCTGTCCAGTGGTGGCCATCACCATACACCCCCTACTACTACCATTTGGCATCATTACATGGCATGAGCTACCAGCTCTACTTTGCAAATAAGTCCATAAAGTCCCATAGTCGGTTAGTACAGAAGAAAGCAAACCTGCCTATGAATAAGTGGGAGCTACCCAATGTCCCTGAGTCTACTGCACAGGGAAAGGCATAAACAAACACAGGGCAAATGAGATAGGTACACTTAGCAGATTGGTCCCTACCCTACTACTAGCTGTGTATGGTGGCTGCTGCAGTCAACCAAGATTCTGCCAGGCACTCCTTAAAGCTACCTCCCTCCTACCTATCAGAATCTCTGCAATGGATCAGAGCTGTCCCATTCCTGGAAATTCTTGAATTATGTCACATAATTGCAAAACACAATGACCCAAAGTAAGCATTTCCATCCAGAAAGGGAGAAAAGAAGGCACAGAAGAACATTTATAATTTGGCCATACAGCCCAGTATGATGGTACAGAACTGTAATCCCAACTACTGATGAGGCAAAAATTGAGATGATTCTGATCCAATACCAGCCCAGGCAAAAAGTTAGTGAGACCCAATGTTAACAAATTAATTAGTGTCAGTACACACATCTTAATCCCAACTGTCAGCTATAGGAAGAGGTTGTAGGAAGATCACAATCAGAGATCTTCCTCAGGTAAAAATGTGAGACACTATCAAAAAAGAAAGCCATAAAAGGGCTATGAGAATGGTTCAAGTGGTAGAAAAGGGGCCTGTGTTCAAGCCACAGTACTACCAAAAATTAATTAAATCCAGCCATTTTCTGGGAATCAATAGGTTCATTCATTTCATTGTTCATTTATTATTTCATGGGCTTTGTTGTCATATTCCCATGGATCATCTAGTATCAGTGCTGTACATTCTCATTGCATGTTCTGCAATGATTCTTCTTTTCTGCTTTAGGGCTTTCACTGGGCCTGCAGACAACTATTAGTTAGGCCAGATGGTGCAAGAAGCACACGGGAGTTAATACCCAGGGGATCTCACTCAAACAGTAGGGATAAGAGGCAGGGGGAAATGTCTTTTCTTAGTAGTTCATAGAATTACTCCAAGAAACATTTGGCATAGTTCTTGATAGGTCCCCAGTAAGTCTGACTCCCAGTTTCCTGGTATGATAGCCACCTTGATAAATCATATTATTGATTTCTAGCTCATTTTAAAAGCTCTCCCTATTCCTGATTCACTTATGCCTCCCAAAATCACTTTCCAATAACTCAAATATTTGTATCATCAGGCTGCTTATTCATTACCCAATCATGACTCGTTCTTTCTTTTTCAGGTGTTCATTAAATTTTATTTTTCACTAAGTTCTCCCACCAATCTATTTCGTAGAGCAACTCTTATTACTCTTCCATAACTATCACTGATCACCATTTAGTTTCATTTATATGGGTTACTAATTTTATTTAATTCAACCAAAATACAAGCTCTATTAATGACAAAATTTCACACTAATTTATTGTTACATTTCTAGTAGCTAAAACATTGTTTAACACATAATAAGGATTCAAGAAATATATTTTTAATAAATTAGCTTCTTACAGAAGTTGATTTTATTCAGCAGAAAAACAGACTTCCTATGAAGAAAGCTCCTAAAAAATTCAATGATCTTCAAAATCATTTGATTGGTAGTGAATACCAAAGGCACTTCTCAAAAAAGACCAGAGGACTTCTTAATAAATTACATACTTACCACAAAGTTTCAATAAATTGAATGAATTGCATGAAAACTCTAATGTAATTCATTCTTAATGTTATTAACAATAAAAGATTAGTCTATCTTTGTGACAAAAGCAGAAATGGAATTGTTTTCATCACATTTTTATTACCTGGACATTGGATAAAGGACCACTCATAGTTCTTTTCTTTGGGGCAAAGATTGGTGTCAAGAATCATCTCACTGCTGTGCATCCCAACAAGTTTCATTGGTCCCCTTGAAGACCCTTCAATGCAGTGTCCTCTTCCTGTATTACTAGGATCGTTGCACCAGCCACAACCAGGTTGTTCCAAACATTGTCCACAGGTTCTCAATCCAGAACAATTTTGAGCTGCATAACAGAAACATTTGAATGACTGCACTCTAATTTTTAGAAAGTTCTTAGTATTATTACAACTTGGGAGACTTTCAATTTCCCCATATAAACTATTTAAAAGTGAAAGACAATACATGTAGAGTCATAGTATGAAACTAATAAAATATTGTAAATAAACATAAATTTCAGGCTGTAGCTGCACATTTACAAGTAGACCACTGCCTCCTCTGTGCAATTTCCTCATCAGTATCTCTTATCTCCCAAGAGTCTCTACTATCTTACATTTAGAAGAGTAAGTTTTTGCCTTACTACATAATTTTTCCACCTAAATACGCATTCCTAGACAATATACCATACTTCTGTTTAAAACCTGACCTAAATGGCTTTGAACTGTGTTTAATTTCATGTCTACCTTCTGAATGTTAACATTTGTATGGAGACAAACATGACTATCAAGGTAGGAGAGGTTGTGCAGTCTCTGTTCTTCACTAGTCTCTGGCACTAATATTCAATTCCCCTAACATCTGGCTCCTAGTCCTTATATGCTACAAGCTAGCAACTATCTACCTGCCTATACAAAGGCAAGAAAGAACAAACGAAAGGAAGAATGAAAGAGAGAGGAAGGGACGGAGTGGGGGAGGGAGGGAAATGAGGGAAGGAGGAGGGAAAGACAGGAGAGAGGGAGGAAAGGAGGGAAAGAAGGAAAGTTGATTAACCCACAACATATCCAGTTATATCCTTCCTATCCCATACCGCAGATCCTGGAGAAATAAATGTACACTGCTGCAGTTGGAAATGCAAGTCTATATTGTATCACACTGTCTCAGTTCTTTAAGTAATACTGGTATCCAATCTTGAGTAAGTAATGGTTTTGAATAGATTCCCATTGGAAGGAAATATCTTCCTTGTGAATGATAAAAGGCATGGACAGCCACAACTGCCTAAGCAGCTGGCTACCTATAAATGGCAAAGTACCTTATTCAAGCAAGAAGGACAAAAAGTAACTGAACTGACCCTGTCGTCTGAGGTCAACTGGATCTAAAGAATAAGTAGGACACTTGGGCTTCAGAATAATATCTTCAATACCAAAAGGATTCTAAGAAGTAACATGTAAGTAACTGCTAACTTCAACAGCTGCCTTTTTACAGACAAATAAAGGAGGAATGTTAGACAAATACAGTCGTAATATTAAATGTACATATGTGAAAATGCAATAAGGAACTTCAGGAGATTGAGAGAATGATGGAAGAGGGGACACAGATCAAAATGCATTGTACTCACAAATGGGCATATTAAATCAGAACCCATTTGTGCAAATATCTGAACATAATAAAAAGAATCTCAAATAGAAAAGGAAGCCCAGAGAAGGGAAGGAAGAGTAAATGGTAGGCAGAGTGTGTCACTGCTGGAATGGCTGTCCATACTTCATCATAGGGATGTTGCCAATGGCCTCTTCTATGGAGAAATACAAGAAATATAAGAAACCAACAGTCTTACAATACTTAGTGAAATAACAGGAAAATGCTAGGTTATGACCACATTCCCAAGAAACTTCCTAAGGGATCCTTCAAGGAGGGGAAGGAACAGAAAAAAACAGTGGACTAGCAAAAATATGGAATGGATCCAAGGGTCCAAAGCTTAAAATTATCATTAGGAGGAAGAAATTATTATTAGAAAAAATATTTTCTGGAGAGAATTCCCTTACAGAAATAAACTACTTCTTACTCTATTCTACTGAATAGATTTTAGAAATAGCACATGCCTTAATTTGACAGATACTGGACTCCAAATGTCTGTTTTGTCTCCTTTGACTTAATTATCCCTGCAGTTCATTTGGTACCTGCATAGCACACCATTGTGCTCTTGGGCTTACTCTTTTTCCAACTGAGCTTATTGTAAAGTTTGGGGAGAAAAAAAATAATTAAACTATTGGTGAATAAATGAACAAGAGTTTTTAGTCAGCTTCCTAAACAGTCAAGAATTGAACGACAGAAAGCTGCAGAAGAATTAAAGCAATACTTCCACTTTATGTGTGAATATTAAAACCACCAAGTAAATAGATGTTTCACTTTGTTCAAAGCAAGGAATCCTGGATGAAATCAAATTTGAATACAAAATCAAAAATTCAATCAAGTGTATCCTCATCTTACTGTTCATATAAAACATAAGGCCAGCAAGACTGCATTCTGCATTTGTTGCAGATATACCAACACTATTAAGATAATGTTGCAAAACTTAAATGTTTGACTGATCTAATCAAAAGAGAACCATTAGAAAAATATAAATTGAGAAAACAAATGATTTTAGTCTTCAAAAACATCAATCATGTAAGAAAAATGAGATACTAAAACTATAGTAGGCAAAGGGGCACATTAAAGCATTATGTGATCCTTGAGATGAGAACTATCATGATACATATACAGTCTGTAATTTACCCCAACTTCTGGGGCTGAAGAAACACAAATGTGGCAAAATATTCATATTTAAAACAAAACCTCTTAGTGGAATTCAAGTAATAATATGTTGCAATCACAGGCTTAACATAAAGCCTAGAGATGACAGTACTTTTTTCTCATTACTTGAAAAGTCTTAGAGTATTTGATTCCTCTTTCCATTACAGGAAATTATTTGTGTTGCTGTGGAGTGTAACGTCACTCTAAATAAATACTTACGAGAGCAAGTGGCAGTTTGCCACTCCAGACATTGTCCATATGGAAAAGAGATTATGTAAGCATTAGAGTCAACACATCGCTTTGTACTGCTGCACCACATACATTCCATGCCATTGCTTGTACAATTGGAACATGTAGTCCTTAGAGAGCATGGTTTTTTACATGGCCTTGCATTTTGGTTTGGACTAACTGAAATAAATCAACAAATACAATTATTCATTCCTAACTTCATTGTTTCACAAATATGAGATTCATTTGCTTTACTATATGTGAATACATATAGTGTGAATACATGAATGAAGCCAACTTGCATACTCTAATACCAAGGTAAAAAACAATAAAGATAACATCTTTATTTAAAAAAAGGTAACATCTCTATCCTACTTAAGTTTATTTTTAAGTTAGGAAACTTGTAATTTCTCCAAATTTTAAATTCTTTATAATAAATAAATTGTATATTGTTGAAAATCATAAATAGGAATAAAAGCTATGACTTCATTTTTCAGGAGTACTGTGTACATATCATTTTATGTTTTTTGTAAACAATATATTTTCCATAAATATAACATGCATACTCAAAGTAAAAAGGTCCTGTTAGTGATATCTTTGATATAAACATAAATGTAATCTATACAATCATACCGACTATACAATATGTGTATGTATTATAATGAGTTTTGGAAACTAGAGAAAGTTCTAGAAACACACTAATGAGAGCTGCATGGTAGTATGTATATGCTTAATGCCCCTAAGTAGTGATTAAAGAGTAAAATTTTTACTAATTTATATAAGATTTAAGATTTTTACAGTAATATAATATTTTAAAAGAAAAGAATTCAATGTTACTTTCTCATTTGAAAAAAGTAAATTTTTTATATTTCATTTTATTGTAAAGATGCTGTACAGAGGGGTTAGAGTTATATGAGTAAGGTAATGAGTCCATTTCTTGTCAAACATTGTTACCCTCTCCTTTTTTTCCTACTATCCTTTTCCTCCCACCTCTCCCCCCACCCCACTCCACCGAAGTTGTAAAGATCAATTCCAACATAGTGTCTTGTGAGTATCGGACGTAACAAATATACTTTTAGTTGGCAACTGAAATAATACAGCTATAAAGTTAAAATGAATCTCAATCTTTAAGGAAATCCCATTGAAATAAAATATCATGATAAAAGAATTAAAAATTAAGAATTTTTTGCTATGATGTAACTATAGCCATGTTACAATCACAACTGTAACATCACTTAATATCACAACTTAATCAAAAATACATATTATAGAACATATTTTATTTTCACAAGGTAATACATAGATTAATAATGACAGATTAGGAATTGGATAAAATAAATTATCAAGGAATCAGTATTACAAGGACAACATGTTAGTCTAGTCAGTACCCTGAAAGAGCTGTTGGCAAGAAGATTTCAAAGATATTTTTCTACAATGGTAACTTACTGGATTACTTACCAACAGGCTTTTCACAGACAAGGCCATCTACCATAGATGTACAAGGATTTGCTTTTAAGCCAGCCACAGCAGCCCTTTCTAAATATGCACAGAATCCAGAATCATTAGGTTCTCCAGGAAGCCACTGTAATGTTGTATTTGTGAAAGGAGACATGTCTTCCCATCCCCAATAGGATATATTGATTTTGCGCAAGCCAACCCAAGGTGATATTTTCTATAAACAATATGATAGGAAAAGAACTATTGTAAAATTTTAGATGTAAAACTACTGTGTCTTGTTATTACAAGTAACTCATTGCACTAAGAATTATAGTTGAATATACATAGAATTACATTTCCACTCCTTTTTAATGTTCCATTTGTAAATCATAGGTTACATGGCTGGAATCATTTATTAAGCCCTTTTTTCACTAATATAAACTGTGGGAATAAATATCAGATATAAATTTCTACATTAGACAAAAAGTAGTATGTTGGAAAAAATAACATACTACTACAGCACTGATATTACAATTAGTGCTATGATCAAGTCATAGGGTTAATGTTTCATGTGATTAAGAATCTAAAGACACATTGTCATCATCTGCACCATGCAAAAATAGGAAACAAGGGCTGGGAATGTGCCTTAATGGTAGAGTGCTTGCCTCCCATGCATTAAGCCCTAGGTTAGATTTCTCAGTACCACATAAACCGAAAAAGCTGGAAGTGGTCCTGTGGCTCAAGTAATAGAGTACTATCCTTGAACAAAAGAAGCTCAGGGACAATGCCTAGGCCCTGAGCTTAAGCCCCAGGACTAGAAAAGAAAATAGGAAACAAACTCTGCATGAAGACATCATAGTAAAACTTCACAAAAGATCTAAGACAAGCCAGCCACCGGTGGCTCACACCCGTAATCCTAGCTACTCAGGAGGCTAAGATCTGAGGATCATGGTTCAAGCCAGCTCAGGCCAGAAAGTCTGTGAGACTCTTATCTCCAATAAACATCCAGAAAACTGGAGTAGTAGAGTGCTCAAGTAGTAGAGTGCTCGCCTTGAGCTGAAAAGCACAGAGACAGTGTCCAGGTCCAGAACAGAGTTCAAGCCCCACAACCGACAAAAAAAAAATCTGAAGACAGAGAAAAACTGAATCTCTCCAACCTTAGACTTATACTACTATTCAGACTTTTGTGCAATTTTATAAAAACTGATGACATCAACTTTCATTAATACAGAGATTGCAAAATTTGGTAAAATCTGAGTGTTTTGCAGAAAATTTAATTAATAGAGGTTAAAAAAAGCCATACAGGGCTGGGAAGGTGGCTCAGTGGTAGAGTACTTGCCTTGCATGCATGAGGCCCTGGGTTCAATTCCTCAGCACCACATAAGCAAAAAGAAAATAGCCGGAAGTGGCACTGTGGCTCAAATGGTAGAGTGCTAGCCTTGAGCTGAAGAGCTGACGGACAGTGCCCAGGCCCAGAGTTCAGGCCCCACGACCAGACCCAAAAAAAAAAAAAAAAAAAAAAAAGCCATACAACCATCCTAAAGGCTCTTGCTAATATTGCAAAATTAGCTTGATATCAAAATCCAGTTTGTATTTATATAATATTTTAATTGTAATTCAGAAACAATAACACATTCTTGATCTAATGTCCATCCTTATAAAACTCTATTAGATTATAAATACATCTATTTTAATAAGTAATATTTATTGTCTATGATACTAAGTTACAAATAGTTATTACAATGTAAAATGTTTCAATTTGCCACATCACTTTTTTACCTTAGAGAGAACTAAAGTATAGAAAAAATGTCCCTCCTTCTTAATCAATGAAAAATAGAAAGTATTCATATCCAGTGTTTATTACAATTATCTTACATAAATGGCTCTTAAAGGCTTAACAAATTATGTACAGACCTATAAAACTGTAAAATGCATAAATACAAGAATTTCACATACTAAATATGCAACAAATATTTCTTAGATAAAACTGAAATACCTTATGAATTTTCATTATGACTGTAGATATTATATTGTTAATAGAATAGATTGTACTTAGTTATTAATCAATAAATTTTGCAAATAAAAGATCATTAGAATAAAAATGATTACCTTCCACCATCTGGCACATTCCCAAAGACAGAGGTAGTACTTAATAAACAGTGTATTTAATTATGCAAATATACATACTTCTTCACATTATAACTATCATATATTTTACAATTATTATAAAGGATTTTGATAATAAACCATTTTTATTAAAGTTCCTGATAATAACCACAGCTGGATAATCAAAGCAACATAGATATTTAAGACTAATAATTTCATTTCACATTCAGCAATTCTGTCTATATTTTCTAGCTATAGGAAAGAAAGACAAATCATTTAAAGTGAAATATTACTTACTAACTCATTATGATAAGAATCTGAGAGAAAAGAAAGAGAAGCAGATGAAGTCACTGATAGGACATTTAAAGTAACTATTACTCAGTAAATGAACCAGAAAGCAGTTGAAAATGAAAGATAAATTGCTATATTATGAAAATTTTCTGCAGCACACCATAAATCATCGTAACATTTCATTAGCCATTTTCGATAAGTAAATGATCATTTGACCCAAGATATCTCCTTAAAGTACATGAATTTGTTGATCTTTATTTGTCAAAGAAGGGTTATCTCAAGTTAGTGTAACTGCACCGACTTAGGTTATAATTCATTTTATATAAAGATATGCTTAATGGAATGTCACTTTGCAGAAGTTTCCACTTTGAAATTCTCCTAAAAGCTCAGATTTCTGATAAAACAAAACACCCTATATTTATAGGACATACAAGTCAGAAAATGATCAAGTGTAAGTTTATTGCACACTCAAAATAATCGTAAGACTTTATATAATTATATATTGTTGATTTGTAATGTATGCCTATTTATAAAAGGCAAGAAAAATGAGCAATTAACACAAGAAATCATGAAATACACAACTTACATATTAGCATACTTCACACTTACATGATAATACCTAAAAAATATTTTTATGTAAGGATAAAGCAATATAGCTTACTGTAAAAAAAAAAAATAGAGTACTTTCTAATCAGATCAGTACCTGTAATCCTAAACACTCAGGATTAAGAGGCTGAAATCTAAGAATCAAGGTTCAAAGTCAGCCTAGGCAGGAAAGACCATGAGACTCTTACTTCCAAATAACCAAAAGCAGATATGTGACTCAAGTGGTAGAGTGCTAGCCTTAAACAGAAAAACCCTCAAAGACAGCAGCACCCAAGCTCTGAGTTCAAGCCTCAGGGGACACACACACACACACACACACACACACACACACACACACACACACACACACACACACACACACACACACACACACACCATTTTTTTAAAGTTTGAGGGAAAAAGAATAATATGATTGTAAAAGAGGTACAGAGTGGGTATGACAGTACACTCTCCATTTCTCAGGGAATGGAGGATGGAAGGATTATTTTAGAGCACAGCCTATTAAAATTATCCAGAACCTCATCTCAACAAAAAACTGCTGGTAGTAAGGTACACATTATAATTCCAGCTATCCAGGAGGTATAAGTAGGAAGACTGCAATCCAAAGTCAGTCCAAGTAAATAATCATAAAATCTTATCTGAAAATTAATTACAGCAAAAAAAGAGCTGACAGAATATCTCTCAAGTGTTTGTCCCTGGAAGTACAAAATTTGTTAACTTTTTTCTATTGAAAACTATCTCTGTGACATTATTATACTTAGGGGAGATACAATTATTAAATTAAATGTACATATTTGTAAGTGACTTTGAGATGACTTCTTTGTAAACAGTAGTTTATTGGATGAGGCATGAGATAAGTAACATTCTCAAATACACATAATAAGTGCTCTCCTAGGGTACTTCTGAAATAAGGTCCATTTTTATAACCACAATTTATTAAAAACACATTTTCCAGGGGCTGGGAAGGTGACTCAGTCATAGAGCACTTGCCTTGCATGCCTGAGGCCCTGGGTTTGATTCCTCAGCACCATATAAGCAAAAAGAAAAAAGCCAGAAGTGGCGCTGTGGCAAGTGGTAGAGCACTAGCCTTGAGCTGAAGAGTTGAGGGACAGTGCCCAGGCCCAGAGTTCAGGCCCCATGACCAGACCCAAACACACACACACACACACACACACACACACACACACATTTTCCAGAGGAAAAAAAACAGAATGAACCATATGAAAGAATGAGTTTATCATATCATACATCCATAATATTAAAAAGTATAAGGGTTACCTGTTGTGTATACTTCTGTATTTCATCCAAGACAAATTCCACTTCTTTTAAAGTTGTTAATGAAGCAAGATTCCCACTAAGATTATAGCAATAAAGTTTTGCATTATCATAGCTTTCTCTACTGGAATTGATTCTAAGACAAGCATCCCCAATATGATTCCATCCTTCTCCACAAAGATGAGCTGGTCAAAGAAAAAAGAATTCTATCATTTTAGATTAAGAGTACATGCAGTATTCAATTATTTCAGAATTATAAATTTGGCTTCCATGTATAAGTTGTTCTTTTTGAGTATACATATGACAGTATTGGAGCTTCAACTCAGGGCATGGGTGCTGCCCCTTTAGTTATTTCCCCGAAGGGTGCTCTACCACTGGAGCAACAACTCTACTTCCAGCTGCTTCAGTGGAAATAAGTTTCATGGACTTCCTGCCCAGGCTGGATTCCAGTCTCAATCTTCAGCCTCCTGAGCAGCTACAATTATGGGTGTGAGATGCCAGAACCTAGTTATTATTCTCAAATATGGCATTTTAAATATTTCAACATGACATTTAAAACAAAATATTTCTAACAGTTTAGTGGAGAATTAAAACAGTGGAGGAGCCTGCTTTTTGTTCTTCAATTTTTAAAGATAAGCCCTGGCATTACAACATTTATTAAACTATATTAAGAAGGATGACAATGAACAACATGTATTGTACTCATAAACTGATACACTGAATTTAAACCCCTTTGAATATACTACTTACTGATAAAAAACTTTAAAATGAAAAAACAAGATAATTTTAATTTTTTAACTCTAAAAAGACAAATAAATAAGCCATCCTGACTATTGTCAAGGTTTTATATGTAGTCTGCTGTACTTGTACCCATCACAATAATGACAAGTTTTGAGAAACATAAGCATACAAGAAAAACAATTTCAAAGCTTTTCCTAAGGAGCATGTCAACAACTGATCTTATAATCTAATTTTAATAGTAATATATTGTTTAGATACTAGTTCAATTCTTCAGTTATGAAAGTAGGGCATCCCATCTCAGTAGTGTTTAGTGGAAAAGCTGTAAACTTGGTTTCTAATGACTATTTTTATGTAGTTATTCCGTTCATTTTAGAGGTTACACATACTATTTAGCAATACCAGTTTATTCAGGGACTCTAAATTGAACTGTAAGGACCTATTTTCTTATGCTTTCTTTTTTCTTTTTTCTTTTTTTTTGTTGGTTGTAGGGCTTGAACTCTGGGCTCAGGCTCTATCCCTAAGCTCTTCAGCTCAAGGCAAATGCTCTACCGCTTGAGCCACAGCGCCACTTCTGGTTTTCTAGTGATTTATTGGAAATAAGAGTCTCACAGAATTTCCTGCCTGAGCTGGCTTTGAACTATGAACCTCAGATGTCAGCCTCCTGAGTAGCTAGGATTACAGGCATGAGCCACTGGCACCCAGCTCATGCTTTTTTACTTAAAAGGAAAAGTACTTAGGCTCTACTAAGACTTGAAGCCACAGTTTACATTTTTAGTAGATCCTAAGTACTTTTCCTTTGATCCAGTTTGATTTGATGCTGGTGCAAGGATCTAATTTTAGTTTTCTATATGTGGATATCCAGGTTTGTAAGCACCATTTGTTGAATGCGCCCAGCATGTTTTGGCTCCCTTATAAAACATTAAACCTCTTTCATTTTTAAAAGTTTTTACTTTAGAGGTCTTTCACATCTTTAGTTAATTCCTAAGTATTTTATTTTATTTCAGGTTACTGAAAATGGAGTTCCTTTCCCTATTTCAATCTCAATAGTCTCATTGTTGGGACAGAAAAGCTACTGATTTTTCTAGGCTGAATTATACCATACTACTTTAGCAGTTTTGAATTAGCTCTAGTAGCTTGGGGGAGGAATCTATAGGGTCCTTTAAGTACAGGCTAATGTCATATGCAAAAAAGAAAAAGAGAGAGAGAGAGATACTTCTTCCTTCCTTATTTGGATCCCCTTTATGTTTTTCTCTTGCCTTTACTGCTCTTGATCAGAATTGCAGCACTATACGGAAGAGGAATGGAGACAGTTGACATCTTAACTCATTTCTAATTTTAGAGAAATGGTTTTAGTTTTCAGAATTAAGTATAATATTGGCTATAGTTTTATTATGCACTGCCTTTTTTATATTGAGAAATATTCAATGTACTACTAGCTTCTCCAGAGCTTTAATCATAAAGGGGTACTGGATCTTGTCAAAAGCTTTTTCTACATCTATTAAGTGTGTGGTTCCTATACTGCTTTTGTTGATGTGTTGTACTACATTTATTGATTTACATATGTTGAACCAGCTTTGCATCCCTGGGATAATTCCATTAGGGCTCATAGGCACAGTTCTACTTTCTGAGTAAAGATCCAGAAGCACATCAAATAAAAGAAAGGTTTGATAAATGGAACTGTATCGAAGTAAAAAGTTTCTGCATGGGAAAGGACATAGCCAACAAGCTAAAAAGACAGTCTATAGAATGGGAGATTGTTGCCAGCAAAATCCAGAATATACTAAGAACTTACAACACTAAATGTTCAAAAAAACAACAACCTGATAAATAATGGGCTAATCAACTAAAAAGAGTCTTCTCAAACGAAGAGATAAAAACTGGGTGCTGGTGGCTCACACCTGTAATCCTAGAAACTCAGGAGGCTGAGTCTGAAGATCATGGTTCAAAGCCAGCCCAGACAGCTAAGTCCATGAGACTCTTATCTCCAATAAACCACCAGAAAACCAAAAGTGGCACTGTGGCTTAAGTGGTAAAGTGCTAGTCTTAAGCTGAAGAGCTAAGGATCAGCATCCAGGCCCAGGCCCAGGCCCAGGCCCAGCGTTCAAGCCTCACAGCCGGTCCCCCCCCCCAAAAAAAAAGAAGAAGAAGAAAAAGAAGAGATAAAAATGGCCAATAGACACAGAAAGAAATATTCATAATTTCTGGCCATAAAAGAAATGCAAATCAAAACAACATTGAGATTCCACTTAATCAGATTGGCCATTATCAAGAAAACAAATGTTCTTCTGTAAATCACCTTGAAAATAAAAAAAAAGAGAGAAAATAAATGTTAACACAAACTGGCAAGGATGCAGCCAAAAGGGAATCCTAACACATTGTTAGTGGGAATGTAAATTTGTTCAACCCCTCTTGGGAAGCAGTATGGAGGTTCCTCAAAAAATTAAACATATAACTACCCTATGATCCAGCAATTCCTCTGCTGAGCATTTAATCAAAAGAATACAAACCAGGATACAATAAAGCCACCAGCACAACCATGTTCACTGCAGTACTATTCACCATAGTCAAGGTATGGAATCAGCCCAGATGAATGAGAAAATGTGATATATACAAACAATGGAAATTTACTCACACATTAGAAAGAATGATATTGTACAACTTGTAAAGAAATGGAAAGAACTGGACATTATGTAAGTCAGGCCCAGAAAGACAAAGGATGCATGTTTTCCCTTATATATGGAAGCTAAATTTAGCTTATAAAATTATAAGTAAATATGTTGAGTGGTATGCAAGGGTGTATAAATGGATTAACTGAAATACAGGAGATTCAAGGGAGATCTCAAATCGTGCAGTTCCTTAGAAGGGCAAACATCAAAGTTCAGCAAAATAAAATACCAAGAAGTGGGTACTCAAACGGGGTATGGGGGTTACAGGGAAAGGGGTAGACAAATGAAGAAGAGAAGAATGCAGTCGTGAATCCAATGAATATCCTACAAAATTAAGAAAAGTAGAGGAAGGAGTTAGCAGAGGAGGGATGGGTGAGAATGTTAAAAGGGGTGATATTGATCAAAATATAATATTCACACACAATGGAATTCTATGCTTCCATTGGAAAGAATAACATTGCAACATTCATAAGGAAATGGAAATACCTGGAAAAGATTATATTAAGTGAAGTAAGCCAGACCCAAAGAAAAGTAGGTTGCATGATCTTCCTCATTTGTAAGAACTAGAATATGTATATGATATTCTTGGTGTATGTATAATAAGCATATCAACATGAACTCCAATATATGGAAACAAGAGGTTCTTATTAGATACTGTATGTAGTTCTTTTTTTTCTATTGTTTTATTTTTTCTTCTATTCTCTTAGTTTTTTTGTATCTTGTGTTTTGCATATAAGATTATGCAATAGGGAATCAGAGAAACAGGACAATGGATGAACCAAAGCAACATTGACACTCCCTTGATACTATGTTGGATATGAACATTACTTGGGGGGGGGGGGGGGGAAGGCGAAAGTGGAAAATAATGAAGGACAGGGTAACAATAATTAAAAACAAATGTACTCATTGCCTTACTTATGTAACTATAACCCCCCTGTTCATCACCTTTTCAATAAAAAATAAATTTTAAAAAGATATATTGTGCTGGGCACTGGTGGCTCACGCCTGTAATCCTAGCTACTCAGGAGGCTGAGATCTGAGGATCGCGGTTCAAAGCCAGCCCGGGCAGGAGAGACCGTGAGACTCCTATCTCCAATAAACCACCAGAAAACCGGAAGTGGCACTGTAGCTCAAGTGGTAGAGTGCTCGCCTTGAGCTGAAGAGCTGAGGGACAGCGCCCAGGCCCAGAGTTCAAGCCACACGACCAACCAAAAAAAAAAAAAAAGATATATTGTATACATAAATTGCTTTGTTAAATGGCAACTCATTTGTACAACTTAACAATAAAAAGAATGCAAACTGTGAAATTACTTTTGAAATTAAATATACAGTGGTTTGCACAATTTCATTTTCATAAAAGTAGACAGAATTTATTATAAATGTCATTATTTTTAAAAGCAATCAGAAAATATTCTTGACCATTTTAAAAATAACGTGAATTTTTAAACAAATCAAATGTAAGAAAATTTTACTATTTGTAAAATATGGATATTATGTTTAACTGTTTATTATTGTCTGTGTTTTCAAGATATGATTGTTTAATTAAAAACCATAAGTATGTCAATAGTATAGTAAGCACAAAGGAATTAAAAGCAATTTACAATTATAAAACTTTTCTTATAAAAACAATGCTATTAATGGTCCAATATTATATTTTCACACTTGCTACTGATTTACTTTTAGAAGATGTAACATTTATAGTAAACACACTATAATACCATTCACCATTCAACCAAATTTTGAAATCTTTACCTGGCAAAGCCTGGCATTCCTGTTGTCGCTGATCCCACTGGCAATTCAAGTTTAGTGAACAGCTTTTACAGCTTGTAAGTTTGTTACAAATCTGTTCATTTCTCACATGACATTTGGTATAGTTTCTGACAGACTAGAAAATCAAAAGACAAAGTATGTTATTCTTTGCCAGTGTAGAAGTGAGAATTCGTGTGTATCTGTGTGTGTGTGTGTCTGTGTGTCTATGTGTGTCTATGTGTGTCTGTATGTCTGTCCATCCGTGTCTGTATGCCGGTTCTAAACTTGAACTCAGGGCCTGGGCTCTGTCCCTGAGTCTTTTGGTCAAGGCTAATGTTCAGTTACACTTCTGGTTCTTGGTGATTAATTGAAGATAAAGAGTCTCACAGAGTTTTCCTGCTCAGGCTGGCTTCAAACTTTGATCCTCACATCTCAGCTTCCTGAGTAGCTAAGACTATAGGCTTTTACCACCAGTTCCCACCTAGAAGTGATAATTCTTTAAAATATAAATTTCTAACTAAAAATCCAATTCTACTGAATTTAACTTTTTCATACTTATTGCACTAGTTTGTTAAATGTCTTTAAACACAGAGAAATTCAACCAAGGTAGCATGGAACAAACTGCAACTTAGGTGCAGTGGCTCATGCCTATAATCCTAGCTATGTGGAAAGCAGAAATTCAGAAAAACCAAAATTTGAAGTCAGCATGGACAAAAGTTAGTGAGAACTCTATCTCAACAAATAAACAGGGCATGGTGGTGTAAGCTTATCATTTAAGCTACACAAGAGACCACAGGAAGGAAAATTGCATTTTAAGGCCAATCATTGACCAAAAAAACACAAGATTTTATCCAAAAATAACTTAATAAATATGCCATACATAAAAAATATTACTGGGGGGCTGGGAAGGTGGCTCAGTGGTAGAGCGCTTGCCTTGCATGCCAGAGGCCCTGGGTTCGATTCCTCAGCACCACATAAGCAAAAAAGAAAAAAAAAATATTACTGGGTATCAGTAGTAAACACCTGTAATCCTATCTATTCAAGAAGCTTGGATCTAAGGATCTTGGTTTGAAGCAAACTCAGGCAGGAAAGTCTATGATATAGTGATATAATGCAGCAATGTTAACCACAGCATCATTTACCCTTAAATACTAACCACACTGCAGTTACTGTTTGCTGAAATACATTTCTTGTCATCACACCACTGGCATCCATTTGTATTGGCAGTACAGCTGGCACAATCTGCATATCTGTAGCATCTGTCATCAGAAGCAGCTATAATACAAATGGATTTAAAACACATTCAGATGAAAAAGAAAATGCTATACTTCTTACTTCACACATTTGTAACACCTATTTAGGTATTGCTAGGACTATAGGCCAAATAAATGACCTTCAATATTAAATAAGTTATCCAATATAAAGTCAACTTTGTATTTTAATTGTGCTTACAGGATTCTAAATACCTTCTGTCTCCATCTTAAATTATGCTATCTCAGTATTATTAATGAATCCTACATTCATTTTAAATTTATACATCTAGCAAGAGAAAAAGAACTCACAGTATTTTATTAAACAAATATATTAGTAGTAGCAATAATGCATAATATACTATTTTACATCCAAAAGAAACATAATATTTATTACTTCATTACTCTTATAAAATATTTATAGAGGTTTGAATTAATAAAGCGTAGTAAAACTTGAAAATGTTTATTAATTGTAGCATCAACAATGTATGAAAGCTTTCACCCATTTAAAGCAATCATTATCAAAATCATAAATTAAAATAGTGACTGATAAATTTAAATTTTTATTTATTCAATCTTGTATAAGAAATATAAAACTACAACACTGAACATCAAATTATAGAGTTTGTTTTAACTTTATGGGTGTGGTCTAACAATAAACAATCTAACAATAAACAATAAACAATCTCTAATCAGGTACCGAGTTCAAGTCCTGGTTTCGCAAGAAAATAGTTCATAGAAATGATGTATTTGAAAGTATTTCAACTAAGAATTACAAAATAATTTATATGTGATCCTGTTACATATAAAATTTATATAGTAAGTTTTCAAAAGTAAAATTAAAACTAACCAAGATAACAAATTATTAATCACTAATCACTGTTGAATTCAAAGATAAGAATTTCTAATTAGAGGATTATGAATGTTTCATTTCTTTTTTTTCATTTTTTTTCCTTTTTTATTTTTTTATTGTGAAAATACTGTACAGAGGGGTTCAATTACATGGGCAAGATAATGAGTACATATCTTTTTTTTAATTTTTATTTTTTTTTATTTTTTGTGAACACATTGTACAGAGGGGTTACAATTACATGGGCAGGTTAATGCATACATTTCTTATCAAGCATTGCAGCCTCCTCTTTTGTTTACCCTTCACATCCCTTCCCAGCCTCCCCCTGAATGTTTCATTTCTGTAATCTTTTTCCTATCAGCAAAATGCATTTCTACTACTAGTCAAAATGGGTAACTTTTAAACAAAAAACCAAGAAAAGAAAAAAAGAAACCTAACCTGTTTTAGAAGGGCACTTTGCTCTAAGAATATTATTTCCAGATTCCCAAGATTCACAATGATTTTTATTCCAAAAACATTTTATTCCTGGCCCAGCATTTTTACAAAGTTCTTCATCTCTGAAAGCTTTACAATTTGGAGGCTTGTAAACAAGGATATCATTAAGTAGTACACTAGAAAATCCACCAAATATATACATGGACCTGTTAAAACAAAACATAGTCTTAAAAAAAATTACCAAGATATTCTGTCTAGTAAATTACTTTTTAAAAGAAAGACAACTATTTTACATTATTTTTAAATATTTATATCAGAGCCATTTTTAAAATATATTATTCCTAAAATAGAATATGATATAAAAACATCAGATGAATTATTATTGTAATAGTTCTTAAAAGACTTTCCAGATAAAAGAAAAAGAAACATATCTTTTAGGGAGAAAGGGAACACAGGAATGGAGAGAAGAAGGGTGAGTAAATGTAGTCACTGTATTCAAAGCATACTATGCAAAAAGTGAACTATGTAACTTGTAGGTAGGAACAGGAGAATAAAGGGGGGGCATAGTCCAAGAAGCATTATACTCATTACCTGACTTATACAATTCTAACTCCTTTGTATAACTCCTTACTAATAACAATTTAAAATTTTTATAAACAATAAAAATTTTAAAGAGAAACTTTCCAAGTAACATCTGAAATACTATATAATTTTTTGTTTTTAAGGAAAGACTCTTCCCAATATATCTCTTTATTACTAATGGGAAAAAAGTGAAAATTCGAGAATTAAAATTTTTATCAGAAAAATAACTGCTCTAATAAAGCATGAAACTATTAAGATAACAGTAACTGCCAGACATGGATTTTGGCTTTTGATGTTGAAGCTGGCCTGAAATAAATGCCCCTCCTGCCTCCTGCCTCATGAGTGCTGGGATTTTTATTACTGCTCAACCATACCACGGACGAAATTTCAAAGGTACATTCAGAGTTCTCCTTGTATTTCTTAATCTTTTAAAATAAAATGAAAAGCAGGAGTAAAATATTCAAAAAACTTACTTTCACGTTCCAAGGAGTTTAGATAATACTAAAGTACTTAACACAAATCAGTAACAAAGATATGTGACACATCCTCAAAATAGGAAAATTGTTATGTATAAAAATATTATTAAATATGTATAAAAATATTATTAACCCAGGTGCTGGTGGTTCACACTTCTAACCTAGCTACTCAGGAGGCTGAGATCTGAGTTCGGTTTGAAGCCAATGCAGGCAGCAATCTGCGAGATTCTTATTTCTAATACACTACTCAAAAAAGCTAGAAGTGGCACTGTGGCTCAAGTGGTAGAGTGCTTGCCTTGAGCAAAAGAAGCTCAGTGACAGCACCCAGGCCAGAGTTCAAGCTCCAGGACCTAGGTGGGCGAGGGGGAGATAAAAAATAAATAAATATATATATATATATATATATATATATATATATATTATGATAAGGGAAATGTTCAGAGAATGCTTGGATATTTTTGTACTAAACAAAATAAAAATTATTTTTTATATAATTGTCGTAGAGAAGTTTAAAGGTTTTGTTTCAGAATAAGTTTCATTTATTAGTATTTTGGGAAGTCAATGGATATCAGTTGCAACTTTTCATTGTGCTTAAATTTTTGTATGGAATAGTAGAGAACTTTTACATAATTAGGAAAAGGTAATAAACTTAATAAGTTTAAGTTTCACTGAATTAAACACTTTATGTTCATGAATAAGCTGAACATTTTCTACTGTCACATAAACTCAAATTATTAAATTTTTCTAATGGAAATAAAAATAGTACTAACTTAAAGAAAGATTACTTAATAAACAAGTAACCTAATTCCCTCACAAACAAGCACGATACTAAAGTTTAGCGATGTCAGGAAACTTGATAAAATTATAGAATTAATTTGTAATAGAACTAGAACACAGATCTAATTCTCACTGTCTTTATTCTTCTAGATAGAAACAGGAGGCAAGTCTCTATTACTGCACTTAAATCTTTAAAAACCTTCATCAGAGCCAGGCGCTGGTGGCTCACGCCTATAATCCTAGCTACTCAGGAGACTGAGATCTGAGGATCACGGTTCAAAGCCAGCAGGGGCAGGAAAGTCCGTGAGACTGATACCTCCAATAAACCCCTAGAAAACCAGAAGTGGCTCAAGCAGTAGAGCACTAGCCTTGAGCTGAAGAGCCTTAGGGACAGCGTCCAAGCCCAGAGTTCAAGCCCCATGACCAACCAAAAAAAAAAAAAAAAAAAACCTTCATCAGATAAATATCTTCACCTGCTCTCTAGTAGAAGAAAGAAGATGACTTTAAGAAATAAATGAACTCTTATCTCAGTACTTTTCCTTGGCAATAACTATAAACAAGAAAATATATTTTAAAAAAAAGAGTAGGGCTATAAAAATCAAATGCCATTAACTATAATAATTTCAAATGATTTTCAAGAAGAATATCAGTAACTGTAACCCCTCTGTACAGCATCTGTACAAGAAAATAAAATTTAAAAAAAGAATATCAGAGTGTGTGACGAATACAAAGTCTTGTAATATTATCGTCCTAAGAATTCAAAATGAGTTTCATTTACCCATTAATGACTACGGCAGAATGTCCAAATCTGTTAACATCTCTATGAAGATTTGGTTTTGGTAATGTTTTCCATTCATCACAAGCTAGAAAAAAGAAAACAGAAAAACAAAGAATAAATACAGGAAAAAACATTTAAAATGTGACCAAATTAAAGATATAATACTTAGAATCAAGCAGCAAAAAAGACTTACTAATTTAATTTCCTTTGTATATATACAATTTGTTGAAACAATGTATAAAAATAGGATCATAAGAATAAAATATGTAAATTTAATAATTTGATATATTTAAAGAATAGCTTATTTTATGTAGAATGGAATAATTTCAATTGCAAAATCTGCACAAATAGTGAAATTGCCTAACTCATCAGAAAAGAAAACTGGGTATGAAAATAGTGCCTCCAAATTGACATATATGGTAACATACATTCGGAGATTTCAAATAATTCAGCATTCACTGACCAGACATTCTTAAGGTACTATATTAAGTATCATCTTCTTAAATATGCCACATGTTAAAAGACAGGCCTTGTATTTAGTTTGGGCATAGATGAATGGATCAAAAAAATGTGGTATATATACACAGTGGAATTCTATGCCTCCATCAGAAAGAATGACATTGCCCCATTTGTTAGGAAATGGAAAAGCTTGGAAAAAATTATATTAAGTGAAGTAAGCCAGGCCCAAAGAAACATAGGTCCCATGGTTTCCCTTATTTGCAATATCTAGTATATGTATGAGTCAAGCAGAAAAGGTCAGATAAGATGATGTTAGGGAAATGAACCCTAAGATATGTATTCAAATGTTTTTTTTTTCTTTCATGGGATTGTTTCTAACACATTTATAAGATTATTTCTTTGTTGCTTTGTATGTCCTTCCCTCCCCCACAGTATAACCCCTGCTTTCACTGTATGTGATGTCGGTATAATTTGTGGAGGGGAAAGGGAAAAAACACATCGTTTAAATAGGGATACAGGTAGACCCATTGCAACAATGAGATGTATAAGTCGTTATGTCAAAAACGAACTTTACAACTTTGGGGGGGGAGCGGGAGGATTGGGTGGGGGAGCGGGGGGTGGAGAGGGGAGATTGGGAAGGGATGGGAAGGGGAAACAAAGGAGGAGGCTACAATGCTTGATAAGAAATATACTCATTATCTTGCCCATATAATAGTAACCACTCTGTACAGTATTTTCACAATTTAAAAAAAAAAGTTCAGAAGCTCTTCTACATAAGAAAATAATCTTTGAAAGTCAGTTTTTAGATTTAAAAATCTTTAGATGTAAAAGTTAAATTAATTTTAATAAGTTTTCATGCTTATAACAAAAAGAGAAAAAAAAGTCTAAACAAGAGACAGTGTCAAATTTGTATCAGACACCCCCACCATGTTGTTATAGGAATGGAAATGACATAGCCTGCCAGGTACCCATGGCTCATGTCTGTAAACCTAGCTATTTAGGAGACTGAGAACAGAAGAGCAGTTCAAGACAAGACCTGGCTGAAAAAATTCACAGGACTCCTTTTCAACCAGTGATGCATGCCTGTCATCCTAAGTTATATGGGAGACTGAGAATTGAAGAACTGTGGCTGTAAGTATCCTGAGCAGAAAAGTTCCAACGATTCCATGTTGACAAAGGGAAGCTGGACATGGTGGCACATTCCTGTTATACCAGCAATGATGGAAAAGCTAAAATAGATGGGTCAATAGCCCAAACATGCACAACAGAGTGATCTGATCTCACAAATAATCAGTGCTAGCTAAAAAGGGCTCGAGGCATGGCTGAAGTGGTAAAGTACTTGCCTGGCAAGCGTAAGTTACTGAGTTCCAACTACAGTACTAACAGAAAAAAAGGCACAGCCTCTGCGAAAAATAGTTGGCACACCAAAAACTTAAGCAGAAGTAGTAAATAACCAAGACATTCCATTTCTGGTTATATATATTTAAAAAATGTAGAACTTAAACAAGTACACATACATGTATATATTTTTACATACATATATATCATCATATATATATATATATATATATATATATACAAAATACTCAAAAGACAGAAACAAACCAAATAAATGCTCATCAACAAGATAAATGAGTAACAAATTCATATATACATACTATGGAATATATTCCAACCATAAAAAGATGATGTACTGACACAAGGCATATCATGGATAAACTACAAAGACATATTAACTGAAAGAAGCCAAACATAAAAGGCCACATATTATATGACTTAAGAAATATTCTGAACTGTACAACCAAAATGATAGTAGTTGTCGTCAATGAATGAATGAGGAGAGACTGCTTAATGTGCATGGGGTTTCCTTTTCAGGCAATGAAAATGCTGTAAAAGTAGAAGTTATAGTTAAACAAAACTGTCAATATGATAACTGCTACCAAATGACTTTTTAAAATAGTTTCATGTTGCTAGGCACTGGTGGCTTACACCCATAATCCAAGCTACTCAGAAGGCTAAGATCTGAGGATCATGGTTCAAAGCCAGCCCAGGCAGGAAAGTCCCTGAGACTCTTATCTCCAATAAACTACTCAAAAAAGCTGGAAGTAGTGCTGTGGCTCAATGAGTAGAGTGTTAGTATTGAGCACAAAGAGTCTCAAGGACAGAGCCTAGGTCCTGAGTTCAAACTCCAGGACCAGCAAATAAAAAAAAATAGTGTTAAGTGATTTTCACTGTAGTCAATGTAAAACTGCTCACAAGAGAAAAACTATTTGAACTATACCCCTAAAATGAAATGACAAGCATAATTGATGTTTGCCCAAGTCTATAAAATAGTCAGCGAAAATCAACTGATCAAAAACTTGTCTACTTTTTGTTTTCCTTTCTTTTCTTGTGGTGCTAGGGATAGAACTCCAGGCCATTCCCATGCCAAGAAAGTGTTCAATCACCAAGCCACACCTCTAGCTCATCAAAACATACAACTAATATGAATGAGCAAAGCTCAACACTCAAAAAAACCTCCAAGATATTTTCTTCATTTCAGTGAGTTTCATCTTAGTAAAATCATATTTGTTGGCATATTTTAAAACTGTGAATGTCTCAAATAGCCATGCTAAAAATTCCACTAAATGTTCTTTAAAACACCTATTTATAATAGTATACTCTGAAATAGGATCAAGAGTAAAAGAGTAATAATGCTGAATGTCAGTGTTACATCCTATTTAATTCTCAAAACAACTCTGAGGAATATTCTTGTCATGTTCTTATAGATATCAAAACAAAATCTCAGAGGTTAGTAACATCCTCATTGTCAAGAATAGGGAAGAAATAAAGAATAAGATAGAATTTGTGAACTGAACCACATATAACCAAGCTAGCAATGAGACACTTGTCAATATGGTTGATATAACAAAGATAGCCAAAGACACAGATGCCCATCACTCATTTGCTGAAACTTAAAGCTGTAGCAAACTGGCCAGGCACCAGTGCCTCACGCCTGTAATCCTAGCTACAAAGGGGGCTGAGATGTGAGGATCACAGTTCAAAGCCAGCCTGGGCAGGAAAGTCCATGAGACTCTTATCTCCAATTAGCCACCAGAAAACTGGTAGTGGTGCTGTGGCTCAAGTGGCACAGTGCTCGCCTTGAGCTGAAGAGGCAAGGGACAGTGCCCAAGCCCAGAGTTCAAGCCCCACAAATGACAAAAAAAAAAAACTGTAGCAAATTAAGAAAGTATGCCACTCATCTACTGAGAGTTCCATATATGGAACCAACCCAGATGAATGGATCAAGAAAATGTGATTATATATATATATATATATATATATATATATATATATAAAATATAAATAATGGAATTTTATGCCTCCATGAGAAAGAATGACACCGCCCCATTTGTTAAGAAATGGAAAGACTTGGAAAAAATTATACTAAGTGAAGTAAGACAGACCCATAGGTCCCATGGTTTCCCTTACTTGCAATAACTAGTATCCATCTAGGATAAACTTACCAGACAAATAGAAAAGGTCAAAAGCTATGCACATATGACCATGTAAGATGGTACTAAGCAAAATGAACCCCAAGATAGAAACTCAAGAGGGTTTAATTTTTGTTGTTGTTGCTTTTAGCATAATTATAATGTATTATGTGATTTCTTTTGTTTCTTTCATATGTTCTTCCCTTGGTATAACCCCCATTTTTTTTCACTATATTTGATTTGGGTACCCTGCATCGTGGGGAGGGGAAGAGAAATAACAAAATGCTGAAACAAGGACACAGGCTGAACCATTTTAACAATGAGGTGTACAAGACACTATGTTAAAAACGAACTCTACAACTGGGGGGGGGGGGTGGGTAAGGGAAGAGTTTGGGATGTGGGGAGGAAAGGAAAGGCTGGGAAAAACAAAGGAGGGGTAACAATGCTCAAGAGGAAATGTACACATTACCTTACTCATGTAACTGTAACCCTTCTGTACAGTGTCTTTACAATAAAATATATATATGTATATATATAAAAGAAAGTATACCATGGTAAAGGAATATTCTAGCTAGTACAATATATCATATATTTGAAAAGTAAGTGGAAAATAGAAAACATAACCATTTGTAACCATAAACCACAGGAATTTCAAATCTACTGCTTAGCTTAGCTTTACTGAATTTTAGAAAATTAAAATGAAAGGTTAAGATAGAGGTCTCTTTTGCACCAATTAGAAGTTTGTTGTTCCAAGGTCAAGGCTCCTAAGAATATGACCCTGACATATGGAATAAAATATTCATTCCTCCTATCTCAAATTTCAAATTTCCAATTTTTCCTGCATCTGACACTTTTCACCTTACCTTCCTAAAGGTAGCTCTCACAATCTGCATGATACAACACAAAATCTTCTCTTTCTTTTTGCTTTTTTCTTTTTGCTTATGTGGTGCTGAGGAATCGAACCTAGGGCCTCAGGCATGCAAGGCAAGCGCTCTACCACTGAGCCACCTTCCTAGCCCCCACAAAATCTTCTCTACAATAAGATATGTGCCTTGCTCAGAATGTATTCTCATCTCCCCTACAGGCCACTGACCAGATTCAGTGGTTAGGCTAAGTTAGATATAACTCATCCAGGTACATGACATGCTAACGA